CATATTGTCACGCATTACGCACACAAAATTTTTTTTTCTCCTAAAATATTCAAAATTTTCGAAATGTAAAATATGCCCAACAATCTCCAATACATAGAAGAAGCAGGCCAACCAAATCAAAAACAGATGAGAAAAAAAATTGAACACTAATTATGCGACAACTAGCCCCGGTCTCCCCTACTTTATGTGTCTTGTAAAGTATAACGTACGCATAGTCGAAATAGAGTACAATACTTTATAATAAACTACAGGTGGCAACCCTATAGTCATCTCCTTCATCCACTTTCCTGGTATTCCATCGAATAACACGGAACTAGAATTCTTTATAAACCTTTAGATATAGCAGAACAGAAAAGAACGCGTTATCAGTTATCTCACCGTAATTTTTCAACTTTAACTATCAATTTTCTCGCTATTTTATTCTCTATCTATAACCCTTTGTATATAACTTTTTTCTTAATAATATTGTATATAGTGAATGAAGATTATACACTACACGCATATGATTTGTTGTTATTGTGTCCTGCCAAATAGGTATATCTCTAAACGACCAAAAAACTATGTCGACGGGAATATAATTGCTTTTTAACAGAATGGTACCTTGGGACTGTGGTAAAAAACCCGGATCTTTGTTGGTTACGTTTTTCGTTACTTCTTCTTCGTTAATTTGTGTTAAGGTACCATATCATCGCGAGTTCCCTTCTTTACATTGGAGATGCAAAGTAGCACAGAGTCCGAAACGAAAACTCATTAGGGGCGATTTATCTTCACGGTACGAAACGAGAATAAAATTGGTCAAAGCAGGTAATACTNTGAGAACATTTAAGCTGAGGTTAACAACGTTAAAAATATTGAAGAGCATTCTAGTATTATTATTTTATGTGTAGATAGGCACCTATGAACTGGAGCCATGAAAAATTAATGTAGGTTTTTATTGGCTAAATAGTGTGCATGTAATGTTAGTCAGTTTCACTATTAGAAGATTATGACAATATCACCGAATTATCAATGACACTGAAAAAAGAAACGTCGGTGTTTGTCATTAATGTTTTATTTACGGTTAACTAATTCTGAGGAAGAAATGGGATTTGTATGGGTTTTGTCCAGAAACAGCCTGGCCATTAAAAAAAACATAACGTGTAATTATATAACACGCTACACAAGTGAAACTTTTTCAAACACACAAACATACCGGGATAGGGGTTATGGAATTGGTTTAATGGTATTATTTGTACACTATGAATTTAAATTTTACACTATACATGCCGGAGTTGCCTGTAACGAACGTTGCATTGAAGCGCGCTCACGGCTCAAGCGATCCCCACTACGAACTCGACTACGTGNCGATCTATAGCGCGTTGTTTATAGAAGAATATTATTTTGCGTAATTGTTTCTCCACATTGTTTGTACAGAAAAGTAACATCCATTTAAAAATACCGAAATCAAGGTTAACATTATGTTTCTAAAAGAAAATTAGTTATGAATGGTGTTGATTGGATTTAAGTAGGTATGTGCAAAATGGTTTTTTAAAATTATTTAAATACAAAATGCAAATACTTTTTTGATTTGTTATTTCAAATGTAAAATGCAAAATAGATTTCCCTTTTGTATTTTAAATGCTAAATGCAAAATACGTATTTTCAAAATACTTTTTGTAGTATTTTGTTTTCTACATTTACTTAAGTACGTATAAAATATTTTTTGAGAAAACCTTGCATTTGCACATTTTTTTAACATTCGAGTTTTTCTAGACTAATAGCAGTGTTTGCACTATATCACCAGCTGCGAAGATTGAGTATGATTCATATTTTTCTGTTTGAAGTGATTGAGATATAGTTTTTCTATTTTTATATTATAGTTCCTTCAGTTCAGCAACAAGTAATTCTTCTTGCTTCCTTATTTGCCTTTGTCACCCGTTGTAATAGGAAAATAAACACTGATGCCAAAATAGTCTGTTAACCGTGAAAGATCAAAGCCAAAATAGGGTTGCAAATAATTTTACTGATGTAAAATCAACATCAACCATTTTATATCAAAATTTTTACAACCCTATTTTGTTTCTGATCTTTTACTTATTGTAATAAGAGAAAGAAATGGAATCCATATTTTCTTTAGGTTTAAGTTCATCTAAAAAGTGAAGTTTTTCTAATCGTTATCTAAGAATTTTGGATTATATGCATTTATTAGCACACCACAATATCTTGTAATTTTCAGTATTACATAGCTGAGGTATATCAATTCGATATGGTTTTGAGGGCTGTTTTGACGTAATTCATAAAAATTCGTAGTTCCTTGCTAAAGGTACGGTAAGTGGTGATTTGGCAGGTGCTGATATCAATTTGGAACTTCAAAATTACATGGACTATCACAATGAACCTGGAAAACAATACCGATCCAATAGTTTAGATTATCCATTTCCAAGTTTAGAATTTTTTGGGCTCTTTTCAGTTAAAGAATTAGAAGCCATTCATAGAATGTCTCTTTCTCCTCTTTTTAAGGTTCCAATACTTTTAATGGCCAATATGAGCAACTTTTATTCATTTTATATAATGTTTGATTGGTGATACTAGCAAAACTTTTAACGACAAAAATGTATTTTGTATTTTACAAATAGAAAATACGTTTGGAAAGGTATTTCAAATAAAATAAAAAATGCTTTTTTCAAAAGTGCAAGATAAAAATAGGAATTTTTTACTTTGTATTTACATTTTAAATGTAAGTATTTCAAATAAATCACATCTCTGCACATAAAGTAACCTTTAAAGCAACTTTTTCAGTGTTTCCATTTTATCCACCATGTTCACTATTCAAATGTGGCGTATTTGTCCGTACAGGGAGTTATTTTAGATAATTTATTCTAAACTCTATGTAAGTCGGCGTCTTTCTAAACACTCGAATTTCACTCTAAAAACCATAACTATACTCTCAATCAATTAAAGTGGCGGTTGAATCAATAAAACTGTCAAGAATCTTCCGCCTTTGTGTAGGCCTAGGTGGAATTATAGTATTGTCATATCATTTAATTGTTAACTACTTGTGTCTATAAAGCTCAAAATAGTTTGATAGCTTTTACAAGGGAGTGAAATAGAATAATGACATATGAAGTACCTGGGCAAAATATCATTATTAAAGTTAATGGTTCTGTTAAATCACATCTGCAAAGATAGACTGCCTACGGCGCGCTGATGACATCAAATAAGATTGATACTGCGACCAGCGCGTGATATTTTCGATAAATTTATGGTCAACAACTTAAATGATTTTATTAGGTAATTGGTATACATGCCGTATGTTAACGTCTAATTAATTAAATAAGCTGAAATACCCCAGTAAGATCTTGTTAAACATTTAAAATACGTTAGTAGAAGCATATACACAGTAGATGGTGATACACTACCTATATTAAGATATTGTATCAACTATCTTCCTTCTCTAGTTTGACCAGCGGTAGTTTCGCTACCGTTCTAACTAAGAACAAAACGTTTTTTACATTTTATGTTAAAAAGTTAAGGATTTTAAAGTAGCAAAAAGTATATTAGTTTAAATATATTTTAAAGCGAAGAGTAACAAATTNCGAATCGTTGCACCGCGCGAAATTCCAAACGTTGCACCGCGAATCGTCGGACCGTTGCACCGCGAATCGTCGAACCGTTGCACCGCGCGAAATTCCAAACGTTCCACCGCGAATCGTCGAACCGTTGCACCGCGAATCGCCGGACTGTTGCACCGCGAATCGTCGAACCGTTGCACCGCGAATCGCCGGACCGTTGCGCCGCGAATCGGCGGACCGTTGCACCGCGCGAAATTCCAAACGTTGCACCGCGAATAGTCGAACCGTTGCACCGCGAATCGTCGGACCGTTTGTGTCATTTAGGTGTATCATTTTTAAATCTTCGTTTAATTCAAATGTACGCTATTAGGAGTTCATGATGCGAAAAAATAAAGTCAACTTTACCGTTGCCCTGAATAAAAATGTTGATTATTATTTCTAGGAGGGTAATGTTGTTAGATTTGCTGTTTTATTTTCAGTTTGCACTCGTGACGATGTTCTTTATTGTTTAGTTCCTTTCAAATGCTTTATATAATTTTAGCAACTGGACAAGATAGGAGGCAGTGTCATATTAAATTTACTGTTTCAGAATTAAATATGAAGGTGCAAACGACGAGATCCGTATCACACTGCTATGGTCACAGTTGTTACACTACTAATAAAACTTGTTTTGTAGTATCCCTAAATTAAAATGTTTGTTTAACATAAATTCCGCACAAGAAAGTTCAGTTTGAAACTTATTTGTAAAAGTCTCGAAACTGAACGAACAATTTAGTTTCACACAAAATAATAATCCACATTAAGGGGTTACTTCTAACTCTTTTGGTTCTTTTTTCAATGAAGCACTTTCCTGTGTTCTTGGCATACGTATTTCTAACAATTAAATAACTTGTAGTTTAGGCATCAAATCTGAAATCGTGTTTGAATTGAATTTTACGAAAATAGATTTCCACTTTTACAACTAATTTGAATGAAAAATGATTCTGGGAAATTTCAAACAACGTCCTTGACATACTGTCAGTACCACTAATAAAGGGTTTGGAAAATTAATTTAGTGCAGAAGTTTGAGATGATATTTCCCCAACTTATAATTGCATTTCCGAAATAACTTATTTATTAAGTTGCTACTGACTTTAATTATATAATTGCACTGTGAATTCAAAAGAAAATCATTAGTTTGGGTGCTTCCTTATTTCCTATTACATAGATCTAATTGTAAGCGGTTCCCGATTTTTTAAAATTAACTATTTACAAAACTTTTTAAAAAGAGAAGAAAAATAACTTAGAATCCGTTAGTACACCTACATATAATCGAATATGTGTGCTTACCAATCTTATTATTGATCAGTTGTTTTAGATCTCTTGGTTTTCGTTATTTCATAGAATTTACGCTAATTTGTATTTCGCTTTACGAACTTAATTAATATCGATAATTAATAATTAACTTACCTGTAATTAAAAGACGAGTTCAAACTTATTTCGATTATCGAAGTGGAATTAAAACCCGAGGCGACTGTCTCTTCAGACGCTGGAATTGAAATCATATCAGATGTCACATTATTTTAATTTTATCACTTTATCACTTTAACCAGGGGCTTTTCAATTTCCATTATGATCGTAAAAATGGACCGTTTGTCAATAATACAAAATTATTGTCACTATGTAAACTTTCATTTTCCATATTTATGACGCGTGGCGTGTAAAACAATCGTTTATCAATTTGATTGGTACAAACTGATTTTTAATGCTCTTTTTAAGTTGCAGTTGTTCTTAAGTCAAAAAAGTTACAAACGCTGTACGTAAGAAACTCGAAAACTTTCTTCATTTGAGAAAGTGAATACGTACAAATATCTACAATTTATAACGTTGAAAACTTTCTACATTTATCAAAAACTGAGAGAGACATTGTCCTTTTAATTCATGGTTTTGTTATCAACAATAAATCATTGATAATGGTAAGTTGTTAAAAGTTTTATCGCGCGCGCGTCTTTTCCATCCGTAGAGCGACAATAGTTGCACCGATGCGATGTCCAGATAGACGAATACGAACTGAAACAGAGTGAATGTTAAGCGCCAGTCGCGGCAGTTCGCCGACCACGCAAAGTTGTGTGTTGGTCTCATTCAAAGCGCCATGCAGTCAACCTTTAACGATACCGATGTCCAATCGCGACGAATTTTGCAGCGCAGTCGCGACGGTTGCACATTTTCATATTTCATAAATATATCCTAGTTAATACACTACACAAAAATATTTAAATGAGCAATAAATATATGTTTATCCAACAAAATACAACATCTATTTAATTTATTTGGCAGCTATAATTAAGTTTTCGAACACCAAATAAATAAACCGGTAAACAAGACCTTATCCTCAAAATAATTATAAATGACAACAGAAGTAAATAACACATAATAATTATTATGCGCGCATCACCTGGCATCTTTGGCATTAGAAATACTGAGTTATTGAGTAGCTAATTTTCATACAGCGGAATTCGTTTATTATGACTCCGCCTATATTGACCAACCGCTTAATATGAAGTACTTGCAGTGTTAAGTTTGGTTTTCATATTAAATTCTCTATAGGAAANACAGATAAAGTGAAAAAAAATATATAACTGAATAATAGTAATAGCGGTTAGAGGTTGCTTAGGTACGCTAAAGATCAGGGTCGGCTTTACAACTGCCTGGTTGGAATTATATCTTTAAACAAGAGTCTTGTTTTCCTAAATTGTTGAGAATATTTGGATAACTTTTGAACTTTCTTTAACATCCAACATGCTAAAATTCTGCTTCTCTGCCTCTCTTTCTGTTACACATCAATTGATATAATGTTTTCTCTTTTTCTTTGTTAGTGTACGCTGCAATTCCTACCTGACATCTATTTTCAATGTTTACGATATTCTCTATAACTTCGGTTGTGAGTAAAAGTAGGCATTCTGTTAGCAACCGCTCTAGTCTAATTAGTAAGTTGAAAGGAGAAAGTAAATGGGACAGTTTTACTGCGAACTATGTCATCTTATATTATATCTTTTAGATAAATACTTGACAATCATATGAAATTAACACCACAATTAGCAGTACGTAAGAGATTTTCCACATATAAATGTTTAACAGACCGTAGGGAGATTCTGTTTTTCTATTACATGTATTTTAAATGCACAGAGTATTATTAGTAGTCTCATTACGTTGAAGGCAGGGCCGAAGGCTTTCTTTAGCCTTCTTTTAGGAATCGTGGGAATGGGTGGATGATAGTTGAGGCGAGAGAGAGAGATTTATCAATCGAATATTACTGCCCCAGCATTTACACAAGTGATCCAAAGAAACCACTGAAAAAAATGGACTAGGGCAGACGGACCCGAAATCGAACCGATGTCTTCTCGAATGCCAAGCGATAGTCCAAAAACCTAGGCTATACCGTTCTATCTTACTGATGCTTCTAAAGACTGAGTTTATATGATATCCAAGTATAAGCAGTAGTAGTGGAGTCCTTTTCCTAAAAAAAGTATTTCATGCGTTAGACAAGGTCTTATTTCCGTATCAACTTCCCTAACTGAATCGACCATAAAGAGTAGATACATAGGTACTAATAGGCACGCAAACTACTTTAATAAAAACTTTATTTTAAGTTCTTGGTCAGAAATTTATTGGAACTACCAGACTCTATCTAACCCATGAAATATTTATTTTTTTAAACGCAGATTAGTAATGAGCAAAATTGGCTTTGGCTTCGCAGTCTTGCTCTTGATCTAATTTATGCGTTGGAGGAAGGATGAATTTATGCATTGGAGTAAGTTCTCGAATTTTCGTAACTCTCAGAACTATCGATACTATTTTCTTTAAAAGTCATGACATGCTCGCATGTATGACAGAAAATTTCAGCATTTAAGACAATTATGGTGTCGATAAATAGAAAAATTAGTGCTTAGAAGAATCATTAAAAAAACGTATAAGACTTAATGAGAAAGACCCAGACATAACACGCAAGACTATGACCAAGACCAGTCTTGGTGTTGGTTTTGGTCTTGCTCTGCTCATCACTAACGCAGATATTCGAGTTGAAATTCAAATTGCTTGGTATTGTTCGAAAATATTTAATATACACACACATTACTACAGTTTTCACATTACTCTACGCTTTCTAAATTATGTGTACGGATAAATTATTATATTTTGGGTACATTGCAGAAATACCACTTGTCAATCGTAATTTATGAAAACAATCTGTGTCCGTCGAATTATTACCGTTCCCGTTTGAACTAGAATAATAACTTTTACAATTAACTGTTTTTGATGTGTCTTCATGTTAGAATTTATATAAATGCAGAGTTTAATTTTAGGAAGAACACGCAACAGATATATATACCATGCAAAACGTATTATTTAGTGACAGACGAAAGATCAAAAATGACCGGTCTTGGGATCTACATCGCGTAGCTGTCGTGTGTCCTCTAATGCATTCTGATGATCATCTACATGTATACGAAATTGCCGACATATTTCTTGTTTCATAACGCAATAATTTATCAATGAAGGTTCGCAACAGATGTTGCGAAAAATTTGAAATGCAAATTGTTTGAAATTCCGAAAAGATACTACGAAACAAAGACACCCAAAAAAAGATAAGCAAAACTTTGTATTTCTTTAGCACACCATCAATTAAGATAAATAGTTCATGCGTAAAACCCATTTTATTATNAGAAATATTTACAAAAGGGTGTAATATAATGTTTAGTCAAATATATGTTTTAAATTAAATATAGTGGTGTTATTATCCGCCACACTATGTAATTTCTTCTGTTAACTGCACAATTCAGAGAGAAAAACGATCCTGAAAACAATTTTTGCCGTGTGAACACACGGCACGTGTAAATACTTCTATACACTTGCTTGTCTCACTGTTGCCGTGCACGGCCACGGCGCCGTGCCGTTGCAGTCCCCATGCCGTGCTGCAACGGCAGCCGTGCACGGCTACGGCAGCAAACCGTGCTGTGTGAACGCTTGCATATAAACCAATGTATTACTATTATACACGGCACGGTTGCCGTGCACGGCCACGGCAAAAAACCGTCTGTGTGAAAGCAGGGTTACGTTACAAAAGCATATACGTAATATATGGTGTCATATAAAACGGCTGAAGAGGACTTTAATTGGTCCTAGAACGGCCTGAGGTAGAGGGGTTTTAGTCGGTAGGTCCGAGGACTTTTTCCTCGGGAATCCGACACCACCTAGTCGTACGGACGGCTGGGTGTCTTTTGAAGATTTCCCCTCTTCCACTAAAACATGTCATATAAAAACATTTTTCTTTAAATACAAAATTGTAATTTTTAATTTGTTCGGAAAGCAAGCTTTGGTCAGGAAGATTTTTACTTTTCTTTCAAGAGGCAAATTATCAAATCTTAGAAAAGCATGTGGTATAAATAGAAGGAGAATCCCACCTGTTACAATCTCCCGTTCTAAAAATTAAATATCAGTTCCCCACCAATTCTTCATAGATAATATAATTTTTTTGTGCAGAATTCAGAGCCGATTTACGGTTTTTGGTTCTTAAGTACTACTATTATTACGTGCGAGATGTAAAAACAGGATTGAAGGTGGTGTGGGGCGCTGGAGGTTAAAATTTATGTAGGAGACTGTTGGCCGGAAGATGGTTAATTGCTGAGTGGGGTAGGAATAACATTCTGGAATACTAAATAAGTGTTTAGGGATGAAGGCGCAGGGGGTAGAAGTGCCAAATGAACGTGAGGATAAGAGTATGTTTGACAATAGAGGTGACGGTAAGGCTAACGAGGGAGGTGACGGTAAGGCTAACGAGGGAGGTGACGGTAAGGCTAACGAGGGAGNCGGACCGTTTGTGTCATTTAGGTGTATCATTTTTAAATCTTCGTTTAATTCAAATGTACGCTATTAGGAGTTCATGATGCGAAAAAATAAAGTCAACTTTACCGTTGCCCTGAATAAAAATGTTGATTATTATTTCTAGGAGGGTAATGTTGTTAGATTTGCTGTTTTATTTTCAGTTTGCACTCGTGACGATGTTCTTTATTGTTTAGTTCCTTTCAAATGCTTTATATAATTTTAGCAACTGGACAAGATAGGAGGCAGTGTCATATTAAATTTACTGTTTCAGAATTAAATATGAAGGTGCAAACGACGAGATCCGTATCACACTGCTATGGTCACAGTTGTTACACTACTAATAAAACTTGTTTTGTAGTATCCCTAAATTAAAATGTTTGTTTAACATAAATTCCGCACAAGAAAGTTCAGTTTGAAACTTATTTGTAAAAGTCTCGAAACTGAACGAACAATTTAGTTTCACACAAAATAATAATCCACATTAAGGGGTTACTTCTAACTCTTTTGGTTCTTTTTTCAATGAAGCACTTTCCTGTGTTCTTGGCATATTTCTAACAATTAAATAACTTGTAGTTTAGGCATCAAATCTGAAATCGTGTTTGAATTGAATTTTACGAAAATAGATTTCCACTTTTACAACTAATTTGAATGAAAAATGATTCTGGGAAATTTCAAACAACGTCCTTGACATACTGTCAGTACCACTAATAAAGGGTTTGGAAAATTAATTTAGTGCAGAAGTTTGAGATGATATTTCCCCAACTTATAATTGCATTTCCGAAATAACTTATTTATTAAGTTGCAATACTTTTTGTCTTTTCTTTTATAATTAGAAAATTGGAAAAAAATTAAAAAATATACAAGAAATTAAATCATAACTAGGCACTTGATATTGAATAAGACAATGGAAACAAAATAGTTGGTACACTTTTGTTTCACAAATTCTTCAGGACAACTCTAACAATTGTTTGTGGTGTTAAACCATTATCAAAGATAATCATTCATTCATTTAGTTGAAACAATTGTTAGAGTTGATTTAAAATTGTTGAATAAATTTTTGAAATACAGGGTTTTATTTCCCTTATCTTATGGTTTCTTAATTTACGGTGCAGTAAAACTGTATCTACTAATTACTACCGTAAATCCATGAAGTTGATAGTTTGATTATAATCTCATACCTATTAAATATATCACACGT